TAAAAAAGATTACTGTAAATATTATTCTTAAAATAAACTACAATTTCGTGCGAAAAAATTAAGGCTCCCTAGGATTTGATCTGTTCGCCCTTATTACTAATAAATATTTATTTTTTTTAATTTGTTAATTAATATTATTTATTTTCTTTTAGTAAATGTTGCCTCCATTTAAATTAAATTTTCGTCATTTACTTTTAGTCAAAGGCCACGGCTCAAAACAATTTTTACAAGGATTAATTACAAAAGATATTGAGTTTAGTTTTTGTATTTTTAAAAATTTATTTATTTTCTTTTTTAGATTATTAAATGAAGAAAATAAATTAATATATACATTTTTGTTAAATGTTAAAGGAAGAATTTTTGTTGATATGTTTATTTGGAGATTAACAAATATTTTAGAAAATAATGATGTTGAAAGTTATGGAATTGAAATTGATCCAAAAAGATTGGAAGTTTTACAGAAAGCTTTAAATATTTATAAATTAAGAAGGCCAATAATTATTGAAAATTTAAATAATTTAAATGTTTGTTTTTGTTCAACAAATAATGTATTCCAACAACAAACTTCTTCAAAAACTCTAATTAATTGGACATTAGATCCTCGAGTACCCAATTTTGGATATCGTTCTTTAATTGAAAATGAAGGAGGAAAATGTTTAGAATTTAATCAAAATTTAGAAAAAGAATATATTTCCCGTCGATATAATTGGGGAATTGGGGAAGGAATGGAAATAATTGATCAAATACCTTTGGCTATGAATGGAGATTTGTTAAATGGAATTAGTTTTGATAAAGGTTGGATTTTGTAATTTTTAATTTAAAATTTTTGTTTTTTTTTTGGTTGTTATATTGGACAAGAATTAATTTCCCGTACTTACCATAGTGGAATTGTTAGAAGACGTTTAATGCCTTTTAAGTGGTTATTTAATGATTCAAATAAAATGCCAGAAGATTTAACTTTGAAAGATGAGAAAGGTCAACGGCAAGGAAAGGTTTTTTAGAAGAATTTCTCTAAATTTCCAAAATTATTTTTTAGTTAATTACCTCAAATGGGAAATTTGGACTTTGTTTAATTTCTGTTGGATTAATACCAGAAAATATTTTTATTCGGCTTTTTGATTCGAATGGTCGAGCATTGGAAGTCTGGAGGCCTAATTGGTGGCCAAAAACATAAAAAAATTTATTTTATTTTTAGTCAACTTTTGTTTTAATTTTAATATAAAATTCAATAATAATTAAGTTATTTTTTATTTAATTATTAAATTATATATAAATTGAATTATCTTTTTTTAATTTTCTTCTAAAAATTATTTAATATTTTTTGAACAACATGGAGGAATCAAATCAAAATATTTCTGACAATAACGAGCAAAAGGAATCGGATGAAAGCGAAGAAATTTTGAGGTTTTTTCTTTACTTTAAATTTAATAAAAAAATTTATTTTCAGTTTTGAGTCAAAGTTTTGTGTACTTCTTGAGAATCAAAATGAGACCTCTTCCCTGGACAAAGATGAAGATGTTATTGATTTAAAAATAAAATTAAAAAACGAAAAAAGGAAAAATAAGTTTAATAAAAGAAAAATACGGAAAAAGTCCTTTGACAACGAAATTGACGAATTGGTTAAATTAATTGAATCAAAAAATGAATTAAATAAAGAATTGGTGAATGAAGGTTTTTTTTTGAATGTTTAAAAGAAATTTATATATATTTTTTTAGAAATTGAAGAATTAAATAATTTAGAGGAAAATGAAGAAGAAGAAAATATTATTGATAAATTATTAAATATTAATTTAAATATTTTAAAAGAATCGGTTAATATTGTTGCTTTAAATAATTTGGAATCACAAATTAAAACGTCTTTTGAAAGTAAATTAGTTGATGTTCAAAGAAGTTGGCCTATTCCAAAAAATTTAGGTAAATTAAAATTTAATTGAAATAAAAAATAAGTTTTTTTAGAATTTCGAATGATTTTTGATTCTTTTGGAAATTCTCAAAATATTTTAATTAAATGGTTTCGTTTTTGGCATAATGAGGCGTATCAACGTCAACAACAATTTTTCTATTTTTGTTATAATGAAAAACGTTATTCGGATATTTTGGTATTTTTTAGATTTTTTCTTATAATTTTTTTTATTTTTTAGAATATTATTCTCAACAAACAAAATCCCTATCATCTTGATAGTTTACTTTTAATGGCAGATTTAATTCAAAATGAGGGAAATAATGAGCGAGCTAATGATTTTATAGGTTAATTAATTTATTAAAAATATTTTGATTTTTTTTTGTTTTTTAGAACGTGGAATTTTTGCCCTAGAAACTGCTTTTCGCCCTAATTTTAATTTATGTTCCTGTAATTGTCGATTGGTTTGTTTTTAATTTTTCTAAAACTTTTAAAGTTTTTTAGGATTATTCTTGGAAGGAAAATCGTCCATTTTTTCTTTTATTTTATCGTTATTTATTAAAAAATATTGAAAAGAATAATTTAAAAACATCTCTTGAAATTGCAAAATTATTATTTTCTAAAGATTTTGAGGGCGATCCATTGGGAATTTTACTTTTAATTGATTCTTTGGCAATCAGGTTTTTTATTATAAATATTTAATTTTTTATAAAATTTTTTAGAGCTAATTGTCCAAATTTTCTTCTTGATTTTTATGAATATTTTCTTAAAAGTAAACGACTTGATTTGCTTCCCAATTTTAGATTCTCTATATCTTTGGCACTTCATTTACTTGGAATGGAAGATGAGGCAGTTAGAAATGTACTTTTTTAATTTTTTTTTAATTTAATAATTCTTGTTTGTAATAATTTTTTTAATTTTAGTTTGAAGAAGCATTGGTAGCATTTCCATTTATTCTTTCTCAAATACTTGATTTTTTACAAATTCGAGCAGATCCTTTAATTGAGCGTAACTACTATTTGAATACATTGGCTTCTTATCGGTAAAATATATTTACTAGTCTCTGAATTTTGGGTCCAATAATTTAATTTTTTAATTAAAGTGAGCCTGAAGGTTTATTATTGCTTGTGCGTATCTATTTGCACCATTCTAATAAAATTTGGAGTGACCCAGTTATTCTTAATTGGCTTGAGATAACTACACATAAAGTACTTCCCAGACTACAATCTGTGAGAAAGAAAGAAATGGATCAATGGGCAAAAAAGTTTTTCAATAATTTTTTTTCTTGTTAATTTATTACTTTAAAGGCGAAAGCAATTATTTACTGGATTACCTGAAAATATAGCAAGACATTGTTTGATTAATGGTTTGTCCATTCCTGAAACACTCGTTACGGATGCTAAATTAAATTTGGGTGAATGTATTCAAATTAATCCTTGTCCTCCAAAGTAATATTTTTTATATTTTTTTTAAATAATTTTATAGAGCCAGTCAACAAGGATTTGTAGATAAAGAAGTTTCTGAAGACATGGATAGGTCACAACAAAACAATTTAAATGAAAGAAATTTTGGTTTATTTGTTTCTTTTATACGTTCAATTTTACCTCAACGAATATTGGTATTTATTTAGTTTTTATTTTAATATATATTTTTAAATTATTTTTAGGAAATTATTTGTCGCTTCATTCAACGTTTTATTCCATAAAGTCATTTTCTAAAAGAGGGAAGAATAGATTTTTAATTTTTAGATATTAACTATTTTTGCGGGTCTCTATTTTTTATTTATTCTAATTTTATTTAATGACTTTTTTTTGTTTTTAAAAGTAATTGCTTGTAAATATTCTTTGAACTTATTCCTTCTTAAATAATTGTTTTATTTTCTATTTATTTTAATATTTTTAAACGTATTTTAAATTTTATCGAAAATAAATGGCTGGAACAAGTTTGTCTCTTGGAGCTAATGTGACTGACCCTGGCGGCCTCGAGTCCTTAGATGCACGTGTACTGCAATTGCTCGCTCAACGACCTGACGGATTTAGCAATGCAGAACTTCTTAAAGGTTATTTGATTTTTATAATAAATAAATTTTTAAATTAACCAGAAATGTCGGCTATGCAGCCTTCTAATGAAACTCCTACAACGGCTGTCGAGTTGGGTGCAGTTGTGAATCGGCTTCTTTCTGAATCTAAAATAGAAATGTTAAGACGTGCAGATCAAGCTAGTAAGGAAATAATTTTTATTTAATTACTAGTAATTAATTAGGTGGTGGAAGTGATTTTTATTTGCGTTTAAAGAAAGGCAGTGATTTGACTAATGTTAGTCCTGAAGAACAATTGGTACATTTTATTTTCTTTTATGTAAATTTATTTTATTTAGGTTTACTCAATCGTTGAAGAAGCAAAGAGAATGGGTGTTTGGATTAGGGATATTCGTGAACGATCTGGTCTGAACGATTTACAAATGCGACGTGTACTAAAAGCACTTGAACAACGAAAGTTGATTCGATCTATTAAAGCAGCAGGGACAACTAGAAAAACGTAAAGAAATTTAAAAATTTTTGAAAATTTTGTTAAGAAATTTCAAATTTATCTGACAATAATTTTCGCAAAGAATTTTTTAAATTAAGTTATATTCTTTATGGTCTCGAGGCAGACGAATCCTTAACTGGTGGTACATTTTATTCTGATCAACAATTGGACTCTGAATTTGTCCAAACACTTATTCATGTTTGTACTAATTGGCTATTGGTAATTTTTGATATTTTTATTAATTTAATTTGAAAATATTTTAAAGCAACGAGCTCGGCAGGCCGAAGAATTACATCGTTCAGATCCAGTTGCACAACGTGAAGCATCTTTTGTTTTATCAGAAGAAGTAATTTTTTAAAATTAATTTTTTAAATGAGAAAACAATTTATTTTATTAGGCTTCCATTTAATTTTTACTAATTTGATTTAAAATCAAAAAAAAATTTTTTTGGGGGATTTACTTTAAATTTTTTATTTTATGTTGCTCGATACATTCATGAAAAAGGCATATGCCGTGTGCAACTTGGTACTGCAGATGTTGAAAGTGTGCTTGATATAGCTGTTTTAGATGGACGTATGGAGAAAAGACTTGATCGCTCTTATAGGTTTTGTTAAATGTTTTTTAGTCTTCATTATTAATTTTTTCTCTTATTTTTAGAGCACTTCGACTACGGAAACGTACAACACCCTTAGCTTCTATTCCGTGTTTACAATGCCCAATGAGTGGAGAATGTACACCCGGTCATGTAATATCACCAGAGAATTGTGAATATTTTAGACAATATTTTGAACTTTAACGAATATTTTCTCTTTTATTTTTTAAATCGTTTTTGTTGTTTTTATTCTACTAAATTTGTGTTAAGAAAAAATGTTTTAATGGGGTGTCGATCTAGTTAGTCTTCATTATTTAGTTTCTTTTAATCTTCACCTCCAGCTGTTCAAACTTTTTAAAATGTAAAAATTCTTGGCGTTTCGTAATTAGTCGTGGAAAAGCATTTTTCTTTTATTTTTGTTGGATTTTTATTTATTCTTTTTCATAAATTTTTATATTGTTTATTTTATATTTTTAATCTAAATTTTAATTTTCTAAAAGTACCTGACTTTTCATATTTTTAGAATCATTTTTTTAAATTGCTACAAATTAAATAATCTCAATTTGACTTTATGGGATCTGTTCTTAGTTATTTTCGAAGTCTTTTTGGACAACGTGAACTTAGAATTCTTGTTCTTGGTTTGGATGGAGCTGGAAAAACTACAATTTTATATCGGTATTTTTTTGTTTAAGAGGCATTAATTTTTATTTTATTTTTAGTTTACAAGTGGGCGAAGTAGTGACAACAATTCCAACTATTGGTTTTAATGTTGAACAGGTTATCCACATAATAATTATTTTTAAAAATTTATTTTTAGGTGACTTACAAAAATCTTAAATTTCAAGTTTGGGATTTGGGTGGCCAAACATCCATCCGGCCATATTGGAGATGTTATTATTCAAATACTGATGCAATTATTTATGTCGTAGATTCAGCAGATCGTGACAGAATTGGTATATCAAAACAGGTATTTTAATCGTGTTTTTTAAGCTTTTAATATGTTAGTTAAAAAAATTTACTGAATTGCAAAAAGACAAAAAAGGGAAGATTTCTAGTTTTACCTCTTAACATAAAAATTTCCTTTTACTTTTACAGAAAATATGTTTTATTCATTTAAATATATTTTTAGGAACTCGTTTCAATGCTAGAAGAGGAAGAACTTAAAAATGCCATCCTTATGGTTTTGGCAAATAAACAAGATATTCATGGTTGTCTTTCATTGGCTGAAGTACATAAAGCATTAGGATTAGAAGTATATTTTTTAGGAATCCTTATTCTTTAATTAATCAAAATTTAGGCAATTCGTAATCGAACATTCCAAATATTTAAAACTTCTGCAACAAAAGGAGATGGTTTAGATGAAGCAATGGAATGGTTGGCTGGTTCACTTCAATCTGTTAAATAATGATTATTTTTATTAAAAACAAAATTTATTTAACAAGCAATTAAATGCCTGTTAATATTTTTTAATTTCTTGGTGTGATATTGTAATTAAAAATAAGGTTTTAGATTTACTACAATATTTTTAGAAAATTAATAAATCTAAAACGCTATTTAAAATTTTAAATAAATATATTCTATCTTGTTTGTGTTCAAGATTATTACAATATTTTTAGTGCCCGCTATCGGATCCAACCCTTATGATAAATCCAAGTCAAGGAAAATCGACTTTACTGGGCACTAAAATGTATATTTTGTTTACCACTCTGTCCATTTATATTCTATGAAAATAATGAGGGATCTAAATTACATCTTTAACCATAGTTCATTTGAAAGTTGATCAAGATAGCCAACGAATTCTGACTTAATTGGACAGGTCTTTTAGTTTATTCGACAAATAGCGACGAACTCTTTAAAAACAAAAAAACTAAGTGTAGTTTGGATCTTTCATTATTACTTTTTATCATACATTTGCATAATCACCGGTATTACAATAAAGATCAAAACGTTAGACGGCGAAAATGTCTTTTAATTCTCACTTATTTTCACATTCACACAAAAAATATTTTACACAGCCATGGAAAAGATACTAGGAGCAAAGGTTATAGGTCTTTGTGATTTTTAAAATGTGAATAAATACCAAACTGATAAATCTTTTGTAAAAATCTTTTAAACAAAACTGCCCAATTTTTTGGTGGAAAAAAGATGTACTTCTCAATTGTACTTGGTTTATTTTGTCGCTATGACGAAATATATATTTTCTGGATATTTAAAAATTAAGTTATACAACGAATTCTTCCAATTATACCATACTAGTTCATCAATCAATATTAAATTTGGCACAGTTTAGTGTAGATTTTTGTCAATTTTCAGACTTTTTTATGGCGTCTGCATGATTTTGACAATATTTTCTTCGTCTGGGACGTAAAATTGGAACTTTCGACCATCAAAAATACCTGAAGAATGCAGCAAATGTAAAGGTATCGATAGTTAATAACATGCAAACATATTTGGATGTTAGATCTGATGCTAAATAAGTTCTAGATTAAGTCTTATTACTTGGAGTGGTCATATCAACTACAAGCTTCGTTTTAGAGAGAAAATTTCAACACATTGGCTATTTTGATCTACTTATTTTAAGACTTTCAAGTGTTTCTATAATTTATCCCATAATTTAGTTTTTATACCTATTTATTGTTTAGTGTTAATTAATTTAATTTTTTTAATAATTTTTATACTTTACAATTACTTAATGCCATTAAAAATTAGTTTTTTAGTTTTCAGCAAGGAATAAGTTTACTTGACAAATTATTTAATTCTAGCGCAGCTTTAGCTTCTTTCATAATATTGAGTAAGAACCTTGTCTAGACTTTATTACTGAGCGAGAACACATTCAAATACAAAATGGGTGACGTTAATGAAGATGTTAAGCCTGATGTAAGTTAGAAAGTAGGGGAATAGATTGTACGAGTATAAGAATATTTAAATGAGTAAATTTATTCTCCAAAAGTTGACATTTTTTAAAGTAATAACGTTAATAATTTTTAGGTTTATCAAAATGGAAATGGAGCTGATCCAGTTAATTGTGATAATGGTGGAGGAGAAGGAACAGTCGATGGAGATGGAACTGGTATCAAAGAGGAGACTGGTGGAGGAGGAGGTGGTGGTAGTGGAGGTGGAGGATTTGCTGGATTTAGTAACAGAGGATCGAGGAATAACGCACAGCTTGAACCTGAACAATTTCGGAAGATTTTCATTGGAGGACTCTCATTGAACACAACAGATGAAAATCTTCATAACTTTTATTCACAATGGGGTGAACTTGTTGATTGTATTGTAATGCGTGATCCTGCAAGTAAACGCTCGCGTGGATTTGGATTTGTCTCGTATTCTTGTCAAAGCGAGGTTTTGTTATATATCTTCAGTTCTGTAATTTCTTGAAATATTTTAAAGGTTGATCTGGCCATGGCTGCACGTCCGCATAATATTGATGGTAAAGTGGTGGATCCGAAACGAGCTGTTCCACGTGATCAGTCACAAAAATCTGAACAGAATATGTCAACAAAGCGTCTTTATGTGTCTGGTGTTCGAGAAGAGCACACAGAAGATATTTTTAGCAAATATTTTGCACAATTTGGAGTTGTCACAAAAGTAAATAAATTCGGCCTCAAAATAATTATTTTCTAATTAAAAGGTTGAAATCATCACTGATAAAGTTACTCAAAAAGCGCGTGGATTTGCCTTTATTTCTTTTGATGATTATGATTCTGTTGATAAGTTTGTTATTTATATTTTCCTTTTTATGGTGAATTATTTAAATTTAATATTTTTTTAAAGATGTGTTCTCCTAAAATCACATATGATCTATGGCTATCGTTGTGATGTAAAAAAGGCATTGAGTCGAGATGAAATGCAGAGGGCTGCCCAAAAAGAACGTGATCGTATGGAGAGAGGAACTCGCACGAGAGGTTTAAACATAATTTTAGGATTAATAATATAGTTTTCTAGATCCTGTTGGTCGTGGTTCACAGCCTTATGGCGGTGGAAGAAGTGGCGGCGGTTATGGCGGAGGTGGCTATGGTGGGCAATATGGTGGTGGTTATGGGCCACCGCCTGCATGGGGACCTCCAGCACCTGCACCGCAATGGGGTTTAAACTCTAATTAGTTTTAAATTATTGTCATATTTAGGAGGAGGCGGTTATGCTGGAAGTTACGGAGGAGGTGGGTATGCTGCAAGTTATGGACCAGGACCTGCGCCATGGGGTGGTGGTGCACCTACAGGGCCTCAAGCTGCTGAGCAAGGACAGTGGGCTGCGGGTGGAGGTGGTGGTTATGCTGCTAGTGGAGGTTTGTTGTAATTTTTTAGATTGTTTGTAAATATCAATGCTCGTTATCAACATTCAAATATATGCAGGTGTTGGTGGAGGAGCTCAATCAGGCACTGGAGCCACCGCCACTCAACAAGATTACAGTTAAAAGATTCTAATAATACTTAAATTTTACAAATCTTTCTGTCTTTTATTGGATTAATTCTAATATTAATTCTTAATTGGCGGTTTGGCTGAAATTAATTTTACTACAATCCACATCACCAATTTTATGAAAACTTAGGACTATCTTATACTATAGTTATAATTTAAAGCCTATTTTAACTTTAAATTTAAAAAATTAAAGTCTAATAATAAACATTTTTAGCGTCGAATCAATGGCCACCTCAAGGACCGCAAGGTGTCCCACCTCCACAACAATGGAGTGCAGGACGTTATTAATGTGGTTTATTTTGGAAAAGCTTGATGGGATTCTTTCTTTTAAATATAATTTACCTATTTTCATTTTTCATGCTATGTTTATTCCTTCCACACATAAAGTGATTTTCTTTTCACAAGAATAAAATGGATTTGTCAGTTTCGTTATGTTATCTTCATATGGATTAAGTTGGGCGCATTGGGTTGGTTTTTGGCTGCGTTATTTTTGATCAAATTAATGCTAAGATTGCGGCGCTGGCGATTATTTTTCAGTCATGGGAATCAAATTGAATCCTTGGGGAATCAAAGAGCTGGACCAGAAATGTCATTTTATAAGACGTTTACTTAAAAAAGTAGGACTATATTGTTGAAATATATATCGAGGTTTATCGTGGCACATCCTTTCAAAGAAAATTATAATCAGCTGTACAATAATTTTGCTTACTGTTAAAATGCCGAAGGGAACTCCCAAAGTTATTTCATGTAATCCAACCCATGAATTGTTTGCCCTATGAGAAAAGAATGTGCCACAAATATAAAGTCAAAGGGACAACAACACAACAAATTTAAGGGGGCTTAAATAGATGTAAATTAGCTACATTTTATAATTTATATCCAACAAAAAATTCCCTCTCAATCTTGACATATATAAATAACCAGAAGTTTTTATCATATTTGTTTATTTCTTTCACCTTAACGAACTTGACGACTGAATGGATTTGCCGATGTCCCATGCGTACCTTAAAAATTTGAACATAACTCGAAAATTCACAACCAAATGTTTATCTTTATCCCCGAAAATATAAGCCTATGAATCTTCCAAACTCGAAACTTGGACCTAATCAAAGAGCAAATACAAACCAATAGAAGAAACAATAGGAGGTGGCGGCAAAGCTCCCCCAACATATGACGGCTGATGCACTCCACTAGGTTGTTGCGAGGTAGGTGGAAGGCCCATCTGATGTGAAGTAGGTGGGAGATTCATATGCTGCGAATTGGGCAGGGGACCTTTCAAATTGAAAATAATTGGTATAAATCTGGGATATAAACCATAATTGGAAACAATAGGTGGCGGTACAACCCCTCCTCCGACATATGACGGCTGCTGCACCGGTGGCAAAACTCCTCCGCTAGTATATGAAAGCTGATGTTGCATTCCACCAATTTGCTGTGTAGGTGGGATATGACCTGCATCAAGCGGAATATCGGTGAGTTGTTCGGACAATTGAGGCGGTGGCAGAACTCCTCCAATATAGGATGGTTGCTGTGGCATTGCTCCTAATTGCTGAGAAGGTGGACGACCCAATTGCTGCATTGTATGTGGAGGACCTTTAAAATAAAAAATTAAACCGGAAGTCTAAATCTGAAGTGTATATACAAAAATACAAACCATAATTGGAAACAGGTGGTGGCAAAACTCCGCCAACAGGTGGCTGATGATGCCCTCCACTAACTTGCTGTGAAATGGGTGTTGGACCTTTCAAATTAACAATTAGTTACTTAAATCCAAAAACACAAACAATAACTGGAAACAACAGGTGGCGGCATAACCCCTCCTCCAACATATGAAGGCTGCTGCATCGGTGGCCCTCCCCCAGCATATGGCGTCTGCTGATTTAATCCACCATTTTGATGCAGAGTCGGTGGGACTTGATCGTTATTCAATGGAATATCAGTGAGTTGTTCAATAGATATTTGTTTCTTAGTACCCGTCAATTGCTTTTGCGTTGTGTCGGTGTTCGACTCACTAACCTTCACATCAGAAATACTCTTTTCTTCCTTTGTCGTTTTTGACTTGTCAAGAAAAACCTCAATATATAGAACCTCCAAAGTAGAAAGCGCAAAAGATAAGTCATTATCATCAACAAGAGTAATCCAATCATCCTCTAAAAAATTTAATGTTTAAAATTTTGCAAAAATATAAATTTAATATGTAAATAAACAAAACCTTCATCACGATATTTCAGCTTAATTCCATCCAATTCTTTAATGTCAAAATAACGTTGCATTTTTGAAATTAAGTCATCAAGGCTCACATCATTGTTGTGATAAATCCAATTCTTACGCAATTCTGATCCATAACGAGCTTTGAGTACAGTCTTGTTCATTTTATTTTTAACAGGCTTATCTTAAATTCTAATTGAAATTTTAAAAAATAAAAAAAGAGAAATATTAAGACACTTGAATTTACAAGTTTAGAAAACCCAAGAATTTACAAGTTAAGAAAACAAGTTTGTTAAAAAATAATTTTGTTGTGCCGCGTCAGCAACTCTGACGTTTTTAGCGAAAATTTAATTGTCATAATGTATTTTAAAATTCAAATGGCGCACGACAATTTGACAGAAGATAATTGGACAGATGACAATTAGAAAATGTTAAAACATCGATACAGTGGAATGAGATCATAAGATCTCTTTTTTAACTATTATTTTGATAATCCTTGAACTCAATTTTTATCAGTTCTTTATTTTATTTTCATAGTATATTTTATTTCGAATACCTAAAATAATCTTAATTTTTAGAAATTCCTAATTTATTCATATTTTTAATGGTTGTATTAGGCTCTAATAATTCGCCTCAGATATTTAATGTTTTATTCAAAGAGGTTTTTTCTGATTTAAAGACTTCAAATTCAATGTGGGAATGTATATCTACAAGAGCAACAAAATTAGCAGCGCAATTGAATGCAACGGCTTCAGCACTTTCTCATTTTGTTGATGCATTACAAACAGTTAGCGATTGTGCCAACAACGTTAATGGTTTGTTTTCTTTCAAATTTTACAATCGTTGGTACAAAGAATCACAAATTTCCCTAAAGTTATTTTTACAATTTATAATTTAGGTATAAGTCGTGATATTGGGGCTGCACTTACGCGCTATTGTATTAGACAACGTAGCATTGAGAGTGGACTCCGCAAAATTTCCCAGCCGTTGATCGAAGAATTCGCCGGCGAATTGGAGAAAAAATGTGCAGAATGGAAGCATTCAGTTATCAAATTAATTTTTCTAAAACTAATGCGGAAAATTCAAGCTTGCTGATGCTGAGCGTCGACACCAACGTTCTTGTAAACGTCTAAAGTCATCCCATTCGTCGCAAGCAGATGCAGAGAAGCGTCATACCTTTATTGAACTGTTACATATGCAGAGGAGTCATTATGCTGGGTTTATAGCTTTGTTGCTTCCAATTATTGTAATTATACTATTTTTTTAAGTAAAATTTTTCTTCGTACATTTCAATCTTTATTTGGCTGGGAAGTATTAAAATTTTTTAAAAAGCTACAAAAATATATTTGTATTTTTTAGGGTTCACAATTGGACGTTTTGGATGAGAATACACATTTACGACAAGTTCGAGATTCATTGGAGGCGACATTAAATGGATCTGATACACATTTATTAGTAGATGCACTTATTGGTATTTTTAAAGAGAAATATTTTTTAGAATTTTAAATTTTTAAGAGGATATTACTCTTTGTTCATCTTCCTCAAAAATAGATGGTAAAACCTGTGATGAGTCAAATAAAGTATTTGAAAAACAAAATTTAAAACAATTTGGAATTGTCAATGATAGCAAAAGGTTGTTAAAACTATACTTTTAATATTATTCTTTTAAAAGTTCAAAAATTCTAACTCAAAAACATCCTTGCCCTTCAACCTCTTCAATGTTTTTTATTAATGGACAAAATAACGATAATCTTGTAGTGTGTAATCGAAATTCAATGCCACAACAAGACTCGCAAAGAGAGGTTTTATTCTATCTACATATCTTTTTTGCTTTTATTAACTGGATTTATTGTTTTTGACCATTAGTTTTTTATTTAGTTTTTAAAATATCTTGACAAAACGATCTCGCTCTACTTTAGTTGACAAAACGATCTCGCTTTACTTTAGTTTAAGCAATTTATAATCTGAGGTCAATTTATATTTAATTTTCAGTGCTTTTTGCCTCCTTCCCAATTGTGCACTTCTCCAACACACACATTCATTCACTCTGATGTTAACACTTCTGTTCCTTCTCGATACCGACTTCCATTGCCAGATGCTTTCATTGTTTCTTCATCAGCTTGCTCATCACAGAATTCTCCTACAAACTTAATTAAAAATAAACAAAATTTTGGTATTAATTTTTTGTATTTTAATTTTTATTTCAAAAATGTTAATTTTTAAAACAGAAATTTATGAGAAGAAAATAATTTGTTTATTTTTCTCACACAGTTCAACCGTCATTGCCCTGTTGTAGCAGTAATTGTTCTTCAATAAGAACTGTAAATTCTGGTACTAGTTATTCTAATAATAGTGAACAACAGAATAATTTAATTAAAATGTCTGATGGAGGGATTATCAATCAACTAAGGCCTTCAAGTATTGGAAGTACTGCAATTGCAGATCCTACAAATTCTGGTTATTTTCTGTAAATTTCCTATAATATTACAAATTTACCCATTTTTAGTTAATGGATCTATTACAACTAATTCATCAGCTGCTCTTATAGCTGAAACTTTACAACAAATTGACCGTCTTGGATTAGAATTGGATAATTATTGTACAGGATTAGATATTGAGAGTAATGCCGAAGAAAAGAAATATTTTGATAAACAAGAAAATATTCATACTGATAAAAACAAACAAAAACTTCCTCCACCAGTTCCGCCTAAGAGAATTGAGGTTAATTTTTATATTAAAAATTGTTAAAATTAATTTAAATTTTTTTTAGAATTTCTGTCCACCATCTAATGTTCGATTTAGAAATGATTCTAATTTTTTTGGTCAGGAACAGAATAAAACCGTTCAACCCCCTCCATTACCAGAGCGAAGGAATTCAACAATCTCTGCTGCTACCCCAACAGCACCAAGCATTGGTAAGTAACACAATACTTGACAAACTAAATTTTCAAATAAATTTAGCTGATATCCGTTCTGCTTGTGTCATTCCTCCTCTCAGCTCAATGACTATGTCAATGCCAATTTCTTTTAATTCAGCAATACCTTCAATTAAAAAAGAACCTTCACAAATATTTAATCATGTGCCAAATCAAACTGAGACTTTATTTTCATTATCTAATTATCACAATCAATAAGGCAATAAATCTTATGGCATCCATAAATGGATCTGGTCCGAAAAAATATAGTTCAAATTCAAAAAGGCAAATTTTCTTTCACTTTTATCTTTGTATGTTGTAAATTTAATAATTATAATAAAATAATAGGTATTTGAATATTTTTTGGTAATTATACAATAATTATACTCTAAAAATGTGAATTCGACCCCAGTTTCATACATATCTCCGAAACCCTCGAAAAAACCATTTCAAAGCTGGGGATGTATTTGGCATTGTATGGGGGATGTACTAATTTAATCAAGACTTTCGAATTCTCTCCCATTAATCTCGGCATCACACGAGAATGTTAAGAAATTAAGTTTAGATTTTTTAAAATATTTATTTGCGAGAATTTTGATGATAACTGCATAGAAATAATTTTAGGATGATAGATATTTTAAGTGAATTTTTGTACAAACAAAAATGACTTGTTGATTATGCATTCTTATATATAATTTTTAAATAATTGAAATAAAATGCAAAAATAAAAATTTTCAAAAGTGATCAATTTTTGTACAACTTTTGGATGAAAATTTTCTTGATAATTTTTCCTTTTAAATTTTCAAAAGCTCAAAAATAATTTAAAAATATTAAACATCCAAAAGAAGTACATATAAATATTCAAAATAAAATAGGATATGAGATAATGGGGGCATTTAAAATAAAATAATAGGTATTTGAATATTTTTTGGCTATTCACAATTTTAATCTTGGGTATTCTAACTCGAACTCTCCCCGTTTTAAATTTTTTAAAATAAAATATAAAAAGTCCTCAATGCCTGTTTGTTCCATAACCATTTGTTGGAGAGGTAAATTGTGATCCAGCTCCTCCATTTGTGCTTCTCAAAGCAGTTCTTAATTTTTTAAAATTTTTTTTTAATAAAAAAATTCCAAAAAAAACTTACAAACTAACTCCATCTCCCTGACGAGAATTATGAGAATCACCACCAACTACATCATTTGCCGAAACAAAACGCCTTTGACCAAAAGCCCCATTTCCATTTTCTACCATAGAAATTTCTTCCCTTTTCTTTCCTCCACCTCCTCGACCAGATAATTTCATAGAACCTCTACCACTTCTTCGATTATTTAATCCAAAAACAACAATTGCAAAAACAGCAAAAACAATAATTAAAACACCAACAACAACTGCAGCCCCAATAATTAACCCAGTATTTGTAGCATTATTATTTTCCTTTAAATTTAAAAATATTTTCTTTTAATTTAAAAATTTATTACTTCTTCTCTTTTTTGTTGTCCATCAGATAAAGAAGTAGAAACACCATTATTATTTAATGTTATTCCAGCATTAGGCAAATGCCCACCAATTTGTAATTTATCTGTATCAACTGAATTTCCTCCCAATTCCCCTCCTTTCGAAAGAATTGCCTAAAAAATAAATAAATCAAATAAATTTTTTTATTCAAAAATTTACTTGTTCCAATGCAGCTGACAATGTTTGTGGCTCTGTTACTTCTTCAGTTGTCAAAATTTCACCCTCAACCAAAACTGAACCCATTCGAAGATTAGAAATATTGACATCCAATAAAGTATTTGATGGACTCAAAGCTTTTGATAAAACCTTTAAAAAAATTATTTTTAAAATATTATTTTTCTAACCATTTTTAAATCTTCCATAATTTGTTCGATAAGCTTTTTAGCTGCCCCACTTGAAAGATCAGAAAATTCAGACCTCCATTCAATTTCAGGAAAGCGAATAGAGAAAGAAGTATGGAAGGCATTTTGTTTGACTTTTTCTACCTGTTCAGGATTTAATGTTGATGTAATAAGAGGTAATTCAGCTAAAAAATTAATTAGATTTAAAAAGAATGGGAGAAAATGCTGGGAATAAAAGGAAATTTAGTCCAAATAAAAGGAAAATATTAAAAACTTTTGAGTTTGTTAATTGCCCCTTTTTATTTTATATTTTCCCTTACTTGTTTGAACTTTTTCTCCAATAATATGATTACTGTCATTATCATCAGAAGTTTCATTTGAAGCAACGAAAGGCTTCTTTTCACCCATTTCAGTCGTAACCTCAACTTCAGTTTCAACAGCCATTACCGTTGTTTCCCCATTTTCACCAGGAAGATCGCCTTAAAAGAATTTTTATAAAATATTTAATTAAATTAAAACCTCTTTTTGGTGTCGATGTATCAATATTCTCAAATATTTTACTTGCACCATCATCATTTCTTTCTTCTCCTTTTTCTCCGTCATTTATTGTTGACATTGTTGTCATTAAAATTTTTGTAGCAAAATCATTAAAACTTTGATTGTTTGTCTCCTTTTCTATATTCTCTTGTGTAATTAAAATTCTTTCAGTTGGAGTAAATAATGTTGTTGTAGAATTATCAACACCACCAATAGTATCTTCTAAAAAATTACAATTTTAATTATAAATTTAAATTTATTTAAAAACCAGGTTCGATTCCACCAATTATTTTTCCTTCATTTTCAGAAGGCTTTTCTGGAATTGTTGACATTTTACCGTTAACATTCTCTTCTCCTTCTTTTTCTTCTTCAATAGGTTCTTTTGTTGTTATTTTTAATTCTTCCATATCTTCTTTGGACAAAACAAAACTTCCAACATTTTCTTCTTTATTGCTACCAACATTAATTGATGGTGGAGGTTTAGAAGATTCTTCGATAATTTCTTCTTCTTTCTTTTCTTCCTAGTAAATAAAAAAATTAATAAATTAAAAAATCCCCATTTTTACTTTATTATTAATCATTTCTCCATTTTCACTACTCATATGATGAATTTGTGCCTTTTCAGGTGCAGGTAACCCAATATCTTCTCCCCCTTCAAAAACTGACTTATCTCCAACCATTATTGTTGGCTCTCTTTAAAAAATATTTTTTAATTAATTTTTGTTTTCTAATTTTAAATTTACTCTGTTGTAGTCATTTGGAATTCTGTCAATGGATTTTGTGAAGTGCTAGATGGTTCCATAAATGAAATTGGATGTGCTCCTTCAACTTTAGATTCTGTTGATTCTGAAGGATTTTCTGGAGTTTTTGTTTCTTTCGATTCATCAACTTTCTCTTCAATTTTTGATTTATCTTCAGGATTTGCCTCAATAAATGGAGGTTCAGTCATTTCTTTATTCTTTATTTCTGTAGATTGAGTTGCTAAAATTAAATTTAAAATTTTTTTATTAAAAATCTACCAAAATCTGTTAATGAAAATTCTTCTTTTTCTTTAATTTCCTCATTGCTTTGATTAATTGGTGCATGAACATGCATTGTTTCGTGAATAGTTTCGTGTTCTGTCTCGTCTTCAAAAGTTGCTGTGGATGTTTGGAATGGATCATCAGCACTACTTTCCTAAAAAGAATTTTAACAAAATTTTTATAAATTAATTTACTCCATCCTGTCCACTTTCAGCAAGCGTTATTGAAGCTTTGGGGGTTGTATGAAGAGGAGGGAAAGAAACTTCAGAATTTAATTGTGTTGGAATTGTCGTTGTAAAAGTATTATTTTTAATTTCAAAACCAACAGAATCATCAACAACATCCCCAGCATTTGGTGAAGGCTCTACTTGATGCATTCCTTTAGATTCTTCAAAAGTCATTGGCTTTTTGATTTGCGAGTCATTTGATTTTTTCTAAAAAAATTTAATAAATTGTAGAAAAATAAAAATAAGGTTATGAGGGACTGAGAAAGAATGTTTAAAAAATTGGGGAAATTTTAACAAAAAATTCATTTAATCAAAAATAATTAAAATTACCTCATCTTCATTAATTTTTGGTAGACTAGTAGTTGTTAATTCAATTCCTTCAGTCGTCTCTTTTTGTCTCAATTCTTCTTCAACTAATGCAAGTTCCCGCATCCTTTCAATTTCAGCCTTTTCACTTTCTCCTTTTAATTCTTTTGCTTTTTTCATTTCGGGTAATTCATTTAAATCTTTACGAGGCTAAAAAAATATGGGGAAAAAATTATTTTTAAATTTAAATATAAACTTGTTGGTTGTCAATTGTTGTTGGGGGTATTATTGTAGTTGAATCAAAAAATGGTCTTTTTTCCTCTGTAGAAGTTGATTCAAATGTTTGACCAGAAATAACTTTAAAATATAATCAGTTACTTTTAATTAATTCAAAAAAACTTGCCTTTAAAAGTAATTGCAATTAACAACAAAAATTGCAGTTTCCCTTTTAAATTTAAACACCTCAACATTTTTTAATAAAATTATTTTTTTGTTTGTAAATCTAAATAAAATAATTTTTTAAAATTAAATAATAAAAAAATATAAAAATTGACAAATTAAAAGAGGGGAGGAAATGTTTTTTTTGAAAATTTTTGGGAGATTTAAAAAAAAATAAAAAATTTTTATAGTATTTAAGAGGACATATTATTTTTAGAGATTAACAAAATTATATAAATTGTGCAAACAACAAACAAACAAACAAATAATTAAATTTTTACCAATAAAAAAATTAGTATAGTGAAAGAAAAATAATTTAAAATATGCCAAAATTTTTAAAAAAATTAAATTTAAAATTGGTGCACAAAATGCCATAAAAATTATTTTTTTTTTAAATTTTAAATAAAAAATACGGTACACCTCAATTGAGTCCGCACGATTGAGTCCGCACGATTGAGTCCGCACGATTGAGTCCCCACGATTGAGTCCCGGCACGATTGAGTCCCGGCACGATTGAGTCCGCACGATTGAGTCCCCGTTGTATATACCTCAATTGAGTCCCCGTGGATTTAATAAGTTTCAAAAGGTTTAAGATGGATATCCGGGATATTGAAGGCTTAAAGTGAATTTTAGAGGACATGTATGCGACATCGAGGGATCAAGTTGGATATCAGTGGATATGAAGGGATATATTTTAGATTTGAAGATTAGGAGGTATATCCGGGCATGTATATGTATCTCCAAAATATACATGCGCGGCTGCTCTTTTTCGCCTTCAGTTTTCTTCCTCCTACCTCTCCGTCTCATCGGCTATAAGATCTTGGTATTCTTCTTCTCCCATCACTACATTATCCTCGTTACTGATGGTCTCCCTTGCAGTTTCGTGAAGTTCTCGGCACGAGTCGATGCCCTCCACTGGTTCGTCTCTTGCCAGTGGAGGGCTCGTTCCTCCCGATCCCGCTGCGAGACATCAATGCCAGCCGACAGATGTTCCACGCTGAAGCTCTGTTCCTCCACATTGACCGTGGTACCCATTTGGACTTGTTGAGAAGCGTGTAATTTACGAAAAAAATGAAAAACTAGAAATTTAGATGAAAAACAAGATAAGCTAATAACAAGGGTGCATAGAAGCTGTAAGATCTCAGGAACAATCTGCCCGGCATTTATTTTAAAAAAATTAGAAATTTCAAAAAAAAATTTTTTTAAATAAAGAAAAATTTTTTAAGACTTCAAAAATTAAAAAAATCTGCTGAAAAGAAACATGTATTGCAAGCAGATTCTGTCAGCTTATTCCATCCCGTAACATTTTTGAAATAATCCCGCATGCAAGATATGGAATTTTTTAAATTAAATCCACGGGGACTCAATTGAGGTATATACAACGGGGACTCAATCGTGCGGACTCAATCGTGGGGACTCAATCGTGCCGGGACTCAATCGTGGGGACTCAATCGTGCGGACTCAATCGTGAGGACTCAATCGTGCGGACTCAGTTGAACTGCTCCGTAAAAAATAAATTAAAATTTAATAACACCAACAACAAATACTTATAAAATTAAAATATAATTGATTAAAAATTCCCTCTGATTTATGCCCCCTCCTTTCTTTACTTTTTTTTTCACTTTTTTCGGAATTTTTAATGAATTATTTATTCTCTCTTTGATTAACACTTTTCCTTTAAAAAAAGTCAATAACAACAGTGATTTACACTTTTTATGCTTTTATCTTCTTCTTTTTAAAAAAACAACAAAATAAACACACTCAAAATTCCTTTTAATAAACTTTTGTATGGATTCCCCCTCCCTCCCCTTCCTCCCCCTCACCCCCCTTTCCTTCCCCCACCCACCATTAAATCAGTAAAAAGAATAGACAGTTGTTGACATTCTTTTGGATAAAAATTATATATTTGAAGAAGC